ATAACCGGCATCCTCAGCTGCCTCCCCATCCCGAGAGCTGGCTCAGGCTCCTTAAACTAATATTTGCATCTTGGCCCCTGGCAGCTGCGGCCGAGGGTAAATATTGGTTTAGCCTGGGAAGCGGAAGCCCCGGATGGCAGTGTGGTCCTCGGCTGGGGATTGCTCATACTCAGAGTGACGCCAAGCTGGACAGGGGAACCTGACCCATCCAGGACCGCATCTCCAAGGGGACCTGGGCCTCTGCAGGCCAGCCAGGCAGCAAGGCTGGCCCAGCACCCCAAAGGACCTGCCCCATAGCAGCCTGGCCCTCGGAAGGCTACCTGAGAGTCCCCATACCTCTCCTCAGTGGGCAGGGGGGTCTTTTACCAAGACCTGGGAGTCCGTGCGTGCAGCAGGGTGAAGCAGGATGCCAGGAACACTTGGGAGTCCCCACTGAATGCCCTCCCAGGGCCCTCCCGGGCTCAGCCACTATTTGTTGTGCCAGCAGGTCACCTCACTATGACTTTATGTCTGCATCAGCCTGGAGATCTGAATTCCAGGCTCAGCCTGGCTTAGGACCAGCCAGGAGAATCTGGACAGGCCTCTTCCCATCTCTGGGCTTTACACTGCCCCACTGACTCTTCGAATTGAGCAACCTGACAGCACAGAAGCTGCTGGGAACCTTCCAGAATACCTTATGACTCTCAATCCCTTGCCATGCAGATACATACCCACGCCTGTGCTGAGCTCACCTCTGCTTCATCCTTCTCCTCAAGAATCTGCTCACCTACTGACTGCTAATTCCTCACCTCTGTGCACACTCCCTCCTGTCTGGCCAAAATTGTCCCTCCTCAACCAATCTGTTCTTTACACCTCCCTTGGTGCCTGGCTTGAAACTCACCTCCTACAGGAAGTCTTCCTAGATTGCTCCCCAGCTACACCCTCACAAGTTTACTCTGTAGCTCACACTTGCTTGCAGAATTGGATTTGGGCCACCTCAGAGCAGTTATGTGGTGCATCCTCCAGTGTAAACACTCTTCAAGAGGAGAGGCTGAGTTTTCTATTCTTTCCCTCTTCTCCTACACAGAGCCTAGACCGTGGCGGACACAGGGAGGCTCCAGAGCACCCTGTAAGTGAGTCGGCTCACTCACCTTCCACCAGGACCCACAGCTGCTCATCAGAGTCAACACATCTGAGAGGAGCAGGGAGACCTTGAAAAACTGGGAGAGGAGCTTATCTCTGGGAGTATTAATCGCCCCATAAAAACTTCTGTTTATTTAGTTGCCAGCAGGTCCCTCTTCCTGGAGGTAGGAAGCTGTTATTCTTGGAGCTACCAATCCAGGCTTGGACGAGGGTGCCCCGAGGAAAGAGGGTGACTCTCTGAGCTCCAGCGTAACGGGGGTAGTTAGGAGGCCTGAAGAGGCTTGCTGGGGCCATGGCCTGCGCCCCAGTACAGGCTGGGGTTATGGCCAGGGCAGGGTGGCAAGGACGGTCAGGAGAGACACTGGCCCCTGCCTCCACTCTGTCCACGGACCATCCGTCCATGGCCTGACTTGCGTACCTACTATGTGCCAGACGCCTCAGTGAGGTCTGGGCACCTTTGGCCATAGGTGCTAGCCAGAGACAGAGGGGCCCAAGGCAGGCCGGGAAGGAAACCCCTGAAGATCAGACAGTCACCCTGGGAAAGACCGGCCCATCTCAGAGCCACAGGACACAGTGGCTTTCTTTAGGGAAGGGGTAGCAGCAGAAGCAGCAGACCAGGGGAACTGGGGAGGAGCCTGAGGAATCAGGACGGAGGAGAACGAGAGGCCTACAAGACAGGGCTGGAGAGGCAGGGACAGAGAGAGGTGGGGTGGGCCGGGGCCGGCGGGAAACTGACCCTGGGACTATACAGAGTCTGGGAGGAGAGGAAGGCGGAGTGGAGGTGCCCACCTCAGAGGTCTCTATGACAGATCTGTTTAAAAAAATTTCTTTTAGAAAGAACAAAATGGAGAGACATTTTAATCCGCTCACTGAATTTAGGGGCCACAGTCAGCATTTGAAAATGCCCAGAGATTACGGTGATTTACGGCTGGACAGGAATCAGCTGGGGCCTCAGCCTTATCGGCGTCAGGGAGAGGGAAGACTCCACGCAAAGCCATTTATAGTCAAAACCGGGATGGGGCCAGGTCAGGCCACCTGGGCCCTGGCCCCAGGCCGAAAGCCTCACGTTATCGCTTTATTCCCACCTGCCCAGACCCTCCTGGAAACTGCAGGCCCAGCCCCACGTCCTCCTCCTCCAGAAAGCCCTCCTGGACACCGTTCTCCCTCACCGGCCTCACCTCTGACGTCCTGTGCCCTTGTAAATTAAAACCTGCTGGAGGGGGACGGGAAGCCATGGCCTTTGCTTTCAGAACATCCCGTTCGAGTCCCAGCTCTGCCGCAGCCCTACATGGCCGGACCTTCCGTGGGCCTCAGGTTCCTCCCTGCTAAGTGGGGGTAAAGACACCCCGTGGGGCCGGCTGCTGAGGGCCGGTGAGGTAACACGGCGGAGACCATCTCGGCGGGTGAAGTCCCGTGACCCCGCCCCCAGCAATGCACCGTCTGCTCTCAGTGGTGGCCCTGCCGTGTCTGGGGAGTCTGTTCCGTCTCCCCCCTTTGCAGTGGTCTGCCTCAGCCCCCCACCCATCTGCCCTTTCCTTCCTCTGGCAAGTCACCATCCCTCCACTCCTCATCCCACCACTCTCGGTGCCCACTGCAAACACGCGGCGTTCTGTCCAGGCCAAGCACAGGACTCCTCCCGGGGAGAGGAGCCCAGCGGGGTGACACCTGGAATGCCCCTCACGGTCCTCCTGTCTGGTCAGTGCCTCCATACCGGGGGATGGCAAGCACCGTGTGGAGGGACACAGGATGGAGAAGGGAATTCTGCCCCAGAAGGCTTCACGGAGGAGGTGGCTTTAGGGCTGAGGAGTATAATGAAGGGTGTCCTCTGCTTAGGAAAAAGCAAAACATGTTGTCCCCCACCCCTCACCCACCTATCCCCCAGTAAGACTGACTTTCTCCTGAGTAGAGACATTCTCGACTTCTACCCCATGGGTGGGCCCCGTCACTCAGTCACCTTGCAGACCAGAAGATTGAAGCTCAGAAGGGGTTAGACTCAGACTCAAGCTTTGGGACCCCAGAGTCTGAAAGTCTGGGACCTTGGGGTAGCAGGTAGGTGTTCACTCAGCCCTGGGCTCGAGCACAGCCCTCTCCGGGGCGGGCGAGGACGACTGGCAGCTGCTTACGGGAGCGCGCTCGGAATGAGCCCGCAAGCAGTGACGCCCATTGCTCAGATGAGCACACTGAGGTCCCACACCTAGCACGGGGCGAGGCCAGGATCTAAACCAGGTCTGTCTCCACCGCTCGGGCGCGTGACCACCACCCTTCCTGCCTCGCCTGGCGGCCCGGTCTCTCAAAGGCGAAGGGAAGCAGATGTCCCTCCGCCAACCTCGTCACCGGCCACGACCGGAACAGCTCAGTTCCAGGCTCGCACCATGTCATCCCGAGTGCAGGAACACTTTTATGGAGCTGAGAAACAGAAAGTTCCCGAACTATTAAATAAAACAGCCTTCTGATGTTTGGAACTCAACAAACAGGCTTCTGACGATTACTCACTTGGTTGTTTTTCCTTTCACTGCCTTTCTACTCAAAGGTAGTTTTGAAAAGAACTTCATTGTGTCTAGACTCAAGTTGGAAAGGGGAAAAGGAGTTTTCCAGCCACCGTCGTCCATTTTTCTCTCCAGAGAGGGGGCGTGGAGAGACGGAGGGAGCAAGTGCTGGCACCTAGCACCGTCCTGAGCACTCACTCGCAGCTCCGTAGTTCATCTCCCCACCGGCCCATTCTACACATAAGGAAGCTGAGGCTCATGCGGGCGGGCCTGGCCCTGGAGTGCCAGTGCACGAGGACAGCAAGGTGGGGAGGACCCTGGCCTAGGAGTCAGGTGACCCTGGTTCCAGTCCCGCCTCAACCACCACCTCACTGAGTGACCCTAGGAATTTGAGATTCTCCGAGGCCCTCCCCAGCCCTGGCATGTGTGCCGCTGCTGAGAAGCCTGATGCCTTAGAGCTCTGGGCTACCCCGCATGCTCCTCCTCAGCCCCCATAACATACATGTCCTCTTGCTCCCCAGAAAGAGCCTGGCTCAGACAGGAGGTCTGGGAGCAGCTGGGTGAGTCAGTCCCCCAGTCCTTCTGCTGTCCACTCCTGCCCTTGTTTTTATTTTATTTATTTTTTTTCTTAACTTTATGCCATAGAGTGTGTGTGCTCGCCAGAGAGGGAAAGTAAGAGAGCACCCCTCAGGACGATGGCCACACTCCTCCTTCATTCTCCTCCCAGGATTCTGGGCATGCACACATGCACTCGGCATGATTTTCACATCCCCAGGTACAGGACCCAAATCACAGTTGGCTACATGGGAGTCCAGCGCCTTAACCACTGTGCCACACCCCTGCCCCTTTCATCCACTGTCTCTGCAAAAGAGCACTAGGGTGCGGTTGGAACCCTCCTCCGGGGAGGCATCAGAGCCCAGGCTAAGAGCCGGCCAAACTCGGGCAGAACACCGGCTCCACCACCCTCAGGCTGCGTCTGCTGGGCCCTGCGCCTCGAGCTTCTTGAACTTGAATCTCTACCCCCATGGGCCCAGGAGTGAGTCCGCCTTGCAGGGCTGCCGTGAGAGGGCCATGACAAAGCACCCCACCCATGGTGAGCACCCGACAAACACGGTTATCATGATCGGCCTTCAGTACTTCCTGGGTGCGGGTCTTCAGGGCTGCCATTTATGATCTGACGATCACGCAGTGAGTAAAGGCACAACCTGGGGGCAGCGGAGGCAGAAACCTCAGGCTCCACTTGCCCGAGCGTGGCCTGGAGGACAGGAGCTTTCTGCAGTCCCCATGGGGGCTCCTGGAGCAACCCTGTGCCCCCGTCAGGGACGGGACCCACGCCTGATGGGACAGAGCCTGGAGGCTGAGGGTGCACTCTGCACCCCAGGAGCCACTCACCAAGCAGCTGGACACCCCGTGTGAGGCCATAGACGTCCACCAGGGCCCAGAGCGGGTCGGCCGTGCGGACCCCATTGAAGAAGAGCATGGCGGCGGAGTCGTTGATGCGGTAGAAGACGCGGCCCTTCTTGTCCACCCAGAAGGCGATGATGTTGCCCTCGTTGGCAAACTCCTCAGGCAGTGCCTTGGCCCAGAAGCCGCTCTGGGACACCAGGTCGGGGCAGGCGTACTTGGGCAGTGAGTCGGGGTGGATGCGGGACGGGTCCTTGCTGGTGAAGCCCAGCCGCAGGGCGCCGCTCCAGCAGCACTGCTTCTTGGTGATCTGGGCGGCAGGGCTCGGCCTCAGCCCGGCTCCCCCAAGGCCCCAGCTGCCAGCCCTCCACCCAGCCCTTCCCTCCCCAGGGCCTTCCAGCTCTCTGTCTGCGAGAGCTGGTGCTCGGGCCCACTCCCCTCCTTCCCATCACACAGGGCAGGGAGCGGCAGGAGAGGGGACAGGGGAGGCTGGGGATGGCAAACAGAGGCTGAGAAAGTTCGGAGGCGGGGGGGAGGGGAGGAGGCCCACCTTCAGCCTGACTTGCTCGTAGATGAGGACCGGGCGGTTGCTGAAGGTGATGGCGTTGCAGAAGCTGGCCTGCCTCTTGACGGCCTTGTGGCTGAGGTCCATGAGGATCTGGGAGCCCTTGGTGTGCGGGTGGAAGAGCAGCGGTGTGGCCGGGAGCCCCCCGCCGGGCAGCACGGGCGGGCAGTGCTTCTGCTTGTGGTGGCATCGGTGAGAGGTGACAGGGAAGGGGCCCCCGATGGAGTCTGCAAAGGAACAGGCCACAGTGTCTGAGAACTTGATGGTCCATGAGCTGGACCTGGAGAAGGGCAGAGGACAGGGCTACCACCATCTTGGCCACACACCGCCGTGGCCACCACCTTTCTCCACTCCCAGTCATTCTGGTGTCTCCCGCTGCACCATCTCCCACTACTCCCGATGGGTTATACTTCGACCATCTACCCTCATCCTCACCCATCACCTCCTCCACAGCCTACCCGCCTCCTTCACCCGACACCTCCTCCACAGCCTACCCTCCTCCTTCACCTGTCACCTCCTCCACAGCCTCC